GTTAAATCAGCGAGCTCCAGGCTAGAGAGAGACCCTGTCTCAAAAAATAAGGTGAAGAGTGACTGGGGAAGACACCCAATGTCAACTTCTGGCTTCCATACATCCATGCATGTGTACACACACACATACACACACATATACATACATACATACATACATACACACACACACATAGAGAGACATACACACACATATGCACACATATACACACATATACAAGCATACATACACACACACATGAATTAAATAAATAAATAAGAATGTGAATGGCACCTTCAGATTGATTATCTAGATGGATGTTTTTGTCATAATGATAGTGATGAGACCTTGTTTGGGAAAGCAGTTCAATCAATAAAAGAGAAAGGGAGCAGGTGACAGAGCCAGAGACAAAGATGAGGTACAGAGATCACGGCCAAGAGAGATCCCAGACAGAGACCAACTGAGCCTCCATCCCACCAGCCACTGTGAGTCTCCTAACGAATGTCTCCCACCATTAAAACCATCAGAGCCGGGCGGTGGTGGCGCACGCCTTTAATCCCAGCACTCGGGAGGAAGAGGCAGGCGGATCTCTGTGAGTTCGAGGCCAGCCTGGTCTCCAAAGCGAGTTCCAGGAAAGGCACAAAAAAAAAAAAAAAAAAAAAAACCATCAGGACAGTGAAGAGGAGACGGGTATGAAATCAGAGGGGACGTGTTTAGACTCACAAAGTCTCACTGAATTAGCCGTCGGCTTGGGGATGGCCAAAGCAGAAAGGAGAATAGAAAAACAGGCCTCAGGACCCACTCAGGAGACACACTCACCATGAGAAAGCAAGCTGTGTCCACCTGCCTGCATGACGGTTTCCACACCCACGACAGGACCCGGAATATGGTAGGAACGTAATACCTGAAAAATGAATGAAGGACTAAACGAATGTCCAAACAAGCCAACAATGAGCACAAGCACTCTTCCACACACGCTGAAGGTTTGAACTTAGGAAAAAAGTATCAGCCCATGGGTTGTCCTCAAGGAGCCCTGGAGGAGTGTGGGAGGCAATCCATTCATTCTCTCACTCACTCATTCACTCACTCGCTCTATCACGCTTCTTCCAGCCCTTCGCAGCAATCCCTACCACCCTGGTGGATTCGATCTCAAAGTTCCCGTGTGTTCATGGTGCTGGCCGGAGACAAGCTGCTCACGGTAAACAGGGGCGACTGTTCAGGCCCTGTGTGAGAAGTCCGTGCTCCTGGAGCAATCACAGGAACGGCACGGAGAACAGGACAGGGCCTCAAACAGGAGGTGACATTCAGCAGAGACCTGAAGGAGGCCAGAGAGTGAGGCAGGCAACATCTGGAGGAGGGAAGGGCCCCGGGGGCCCCAGATGTGGCTGTCTGGTGCACCTGAGGCAGGAAGGCAGACGAAGCAGGACCCAGGAGGTAGGCCAGCCAACATGGCCTCTCCAGGCTGCTGTGGTGTCGGCACAAACTGTGTGGTCACAGAGGGAGCCGGAGAGTATGTTGCACGGATCGGGGAAGGTGGTC